CGTGAGTTACCTGGTCTTTGATCTATATGTACTTTCGTTCTTGATTCCTATGCTGGTTACCTGATGGTTATTTTAGGCATATTAACTGAATTATCTTTCCATTTGTTTGACATAACTGATTCTTGTGAATTCATAGGGACTTTGGAGTTATCTTTGGATACCTAAGATTATCCCTGCTAATTTGTTTTAGTAGAAATGAACAGCAAGGAGGCAAAGAGGGTAATATTTATAAATGTCTGTAATACTCTTATTTCTGCAGGAGATTCCAGTAAACCCTAGAAACATTTTGTTCTCTGTACAGTTTCCCATATATCATTGTTCAGTTAAAACAAGCAGCAGAGGAAGGTATGTTAAAGGGTAGATCATCTTTCTGTTGCATTTGCTTTTGGCAATGGCAAAATGTTACGTTTCCTCATTTAAAAAGCTGCTTTGTAAACATAATAATGTTGGCTCTTGCAGAGTTGACAAGACATAGCAATAGTGTAACATTCTTGATGCGTGGAGTAAATATAAATTTTTTTGCAGCTTCCCTCTTCCCCCTCTTTCCCAAAGTGTTCCTATTTAATTCTTGATCTTGGCCTTTAAGGAAAATTCTTCACAAATCCTCTCTCCTCTTTTGGTTCTTCAAAGTCCTTTTATTTCTCTACAAAAGACTAGGTTGGATGGGATTGCAGTCCACCACCATAGCATACTTATATGTTTGTAGTGTTTCAGTGAAACATCACGGGTAGTTTTGAGGTACTGTTGAGCCACTGAATTGTTAGTACAGAAACTATAACCTCAATAAAAGCAATAATAAACCAGATGGTAAATCGTGTTATTCTTTGGGTTAGTTCAATATTGAAATCATAATGAAACCTTATTATCTAAATGCTTAAGTCAAAAGCGGTAACTCACTGTCATTGAAGCAAAAATAAGACTTTCTTCAGAAGTTGCTCTGTGTGGACCTGCCACATGACGTCTGTAGCTTGCACTGGTCTGGGTGCGTTCAGCAAGTAAGGCTGGATGGCACAGCCCTTACAACTGGATCTCCTGAAACTTGGTTGGCCTGATTTCAGCTCTTTGCCATGTTGCAGGTTATCTGGTCAGGTCAGGTCACTTAGATCTGGATCCTGAGAAGGATTTAGGTCTTGATTTTTGTTGGTTTGGGGATAGGTATTACATACCAAATATACCGATGTATCTCAGCTTCTTGTATGGCTCATTTCCATTTCTGTAAAGTGTATTTATATTGGTATTTCCCTACCTCACAGGGGTGTTGTGAGGATAAATATGTAAGAAAGTGCCATGCGATACTGACATAACTGAGTTAAGTAGGAAAGCAAGGAGCCTATCAATGAAAAAATTATTTAAGATGCATAGAGGTGGAGCTTGAAGTAAAATGTCAAGGGGTTCCTATCTTTGTAGAAATTGTCTGTAGGTTCTTGCTTTGTTGTGTTCTACCTGTGGCAGCCCAGCACGACACTTGGAGATGATGCCATGAATTACTGCTACAGATTGTGCAGAGTAAAAGGAGAATTTGGTTTTGAGCCCCCTCTCCTGAGAAAGTCTCAGTTTTTTCCTGGGAATATCCTCCAGTTTGCTAATTGGGGGGGAAGTGGGTCAGATCCATGTTCCCACTGCAATAGTGTCTGTGAGTTCTGGCCCCAGATTAGGTCTGTCCAAGCTGATAGAGTTTTCTCTGGCTCTTTGCTGTACTTAGTCATTGGTGAGCACATCCTGTTCCTCAGCTAAGAACAGACTTCTTTGTGATAGTCGGATTAAAAGGAGAGAAAGCACATTACAGGGATGATATTTTGTCTAGTGCTCAATATTTGCTTTCTAAGAACTAGTCAGGAGGAAGGGAGGTTCTTAAGAAGCTGCTGAAAATGCAGTGTATGCCAGTTATCTTTTCCTTTTCCCACTGTCTTAGTGGAGCCATTAAAATGTTATTTGAATGTTGACTCAGTGAAAAAGCAGGTTTGAGATACTGTCCCAAACCACCCATGCAGGAACTTTGCTCTGTTCATAAGCTGTCATGCACAGCATGGTTACTGCTAATATGTTGATAGCCTTTCTTTTCCACATCTTTTGAAAAAACTGACATAGGTAAGAAAATTGACATTTAAATTGAGCTATAATTGAGCTTTAGAGCTCATTGAGATGAGTGAGGCAGTCAGAAAGTCTTCCAGCGATTTTTCAGGTGTATTTCAGAGCATTAGTTACCAGTTTTAAAGTTATTTTTGCAGGATTGCCTACCAGCGAATCCAACTCTTTTAAAGCCTTCTTCCAAAAAGCTTCCAAAAAGAAATGGAAGTATTGATCATCCTAAGGCAATTCTTAATTTTGTTTTTGTAAGCAGATGCTACTGTTGTTATACTTGTCATTTATGGAGTACATAAAGAAAGCTGGGGATTATTTATGGAGATGACTGTGGTAAAAGTTTTAGGTTGCTACTGCTGCATAGGGCCAGAAACATTTGGGCTGTTCTCTAAGTGTATCAAAAAGCACTTTGCTATCCAGAGACATATTCCTCGCGGCATATGTTAATTTAAAGGTCCACAAATTATATATATGTGTGTGTGTGTGTGTGT